ATTGGTATGACAGGTAGGGTATAGTGAGTGGTGTCCCAAAGGAGTCTGAGCTGGCCCTCATCTTTATACCATTTACGTCAATAACTTAGATGAGGGGAGGAAAAGCATGATCGGTAAATTCACAGACAACACCAACATAGGTAGAAATGTATGAGAGATAGTAGGGACTGCAGATGCTGGAGAATCCGAGACAACAAGGTGCAGGGCTGGATGAACACAGCAGGCCAAGCAGCATCATAGGAGCAGAAAGGCTGACGTTTCGGGCCTAGACCCTTCATCAGAAAAGGGGGAGGGGAAGGGGGTTTTGAAATAAATAGGGAGAGAGTGGGAGGCGGATAGAAGAGGGATAGAGGAGAGGTGGAGAGGAAACAAACAGGTCGAAGAGGCGGGGATGGAGCCAGTAAAGGTGAGTGTAGGTAGGGAGTTAGGAAGGGGATAGGTCAGTCCAGGGAGGACGGACAGGTCAAGGGGGCGGGATGAGGTTAGTCGGTAGGAGATGGAGGTGCGGCTTGAGGTGGGAGGAGGGGATAGGTGGGAGGAAGAACAGGTTAGGGAGGCAGGGACGAGCTGGACCGGTTTTGGGATGCGGTAGGGGGAGGGGAGATTTTGAAACTTGTGAAATCCACATTGATACCATTGGGCTGCAGGGTTCACAAGCGGAATATGAGTTGCTGTTCCTGCAACCTTCGGGTGGCATCGTTGTGGCACTGCAGGAGGCCCAGGATGGACATGTCGTCTGAGGAATGGGAGGGGGAGTTGAAATGATTCGCGACTGGGAGGTGCAGTTGTTTATTGTGAACCGAGCGTAGGTGTTCTGCAAAGCGGTCCCCGAGTCTCCGCTTGGTTTCCCTGATGTAGAGGAAGCCACACCGGGTACAGCGGATACAGAATACCACATTGGCAGATGTGCAGGTGAACATCTGCTTGATGTGGAAAGTCTTCTTGGGGCCTGGGATGGGGTGAGGGAAGAGGTATGGGGACAGGTGTAGCACTTCCTGCGGTTGCAGGGAAAAGTGCCGGGTGTGGTGGAGCTGGAGGGGAGTGTGGAGCGGACAAGGGAGTCACGGAGAGAGTTGTCCCTCCGGAAAGCAGATAAGGGTGGGGAGGGAAAGATGTCTTTGGTGGTGGGGTCGGATTGCAGATGGCGGAAGTGTCGGAGGATGATGCGTTGGATCCGGAGGTTGGTGGGGTGGTACGTGAGGACGAGGGGGATTCTTTTTTGGTTGTTATTGCGTGGACGGGGTGTGAGGGATGAGGTGCGAGAGACGTGGGAGACACGGTTGAGGGCGTTCTCGACCACCGAGGAGGGGAAGTTACAGTCCTTGAAAAACGAGGACAACTGAGATGTACGGGAGTGGAATGCCTCATCCTGGGAGCAGATGCGGCAGAGGCAAAGGAATTGGGAATAGGGGATAGCATTTTTGCAGGAAGGTGGGTGGGAGGAGGAGTATTCTAGGTAGCTGTGGGAGTCGGTGGGCTTGAAATGAATATCGGTTTCGAGGTGGTTGCCCAATATGGAGACAGAGAGGTCCAGGAAGGGGAGAGAGGTGTTAGAGATGGTCCAGGTAAACTTAAGGTTGGGGTGGAAGGTGTTAGTGAAGTGTATGAACTGTTCAAGCTCCTCGTGGGAGCACGAGGCGGCGCCAATATAGTCATCAATGTAACGGAGGAAGAGGTGGGGTTTAGGGCCGGTGTAGGTACGGAAGAGGGATTGTTCCACGTAACCTACAAAGAGGCAGGCGTAGCTTGGGCCCATGCAGGTACCCATGGCCACCCACTTTGTAGGAAGTGGGAGGAATTGAAAGAGAAGTTGTTGAGTGTGAGGACGAGTTCGGCTAAGTGGATGAGGGTATCAGTGGAGGGGGACTGGTCGGGCCTGCGGGAGAGGAAGAAGCGGAGGGCCTTAAGGCCATCTGCATGGGGAATGCAGGTGTAGAGGGACTGGACGTCCATGGTAAAGAGGAGGTGTTGGGGACCGGGGAATTGGAAGTTCTGGAGGAGGTGGAGGGCGTGGGTGGTGTCACGGACATAGGTCGGGAGTTCCTGGACCAAGGGGGAGAAAATGGAGTCGAGATAGTTGGAGATCAGTTTGGTGGGGCAGGAGCAGGCGGAGACAATGGGTCGACCAGGGCATTCAGGTTTGTGGATTTTGGGAAGGAGATAGAAGCGGGCAGTGCGAGAATGGGGAACGATGAGGTTGGAGGCCGTGGGTGGGAGGTCACCTGAGGTGATGAGGTTGTGGATGGTTTGCGAGATGATGGTTTGGTGCTCAGGGGTGGGGTCATGATCAAGGGGGCGGTAAGAGGTGGTGTCGGAGAGTTGGCGTCCGGCCTCGGCGATGTAGAGGTCAGTGCGCCATACTACAACTGCGCCTCCCTTGTCCGCGGGTTTTATGGTGAGGTTGGGATTGGAGCGGAGGGATCGGAGGGCTGCACGTTCTGCGGGGGAGAGGTTGGAGTGGGTGAGAGGGGTGGAGAGGTTGAGGCGATTGATTTCACAAGTTTCAAAATCTCCCCTCCCCCTACCGCATCCCAAAACCGGTCCAGCTCGTCCCTGCCTCCCTAACCTGTTCTTCCTCCCACCTCAAGCCGCACCTCCATCTCCTACCGACCAACCTCATCCCGCCCCCTTGACCTGTCCGTCCTCCCTGGACTGACCTATCCCCTTCCTAACTCCCTACCTACACTCACCTTTACTGGCTCCATCCCCGCCTCTTCGACCTGTTTGTTTCCTCTCCACCTATCCTCTCCTCTATCCGCCTCCCACTCTCTCCCTATTTATTTCAAAACCCTCTTCCCCTCCCCCTTTTCTGATGAAGGGTCTCGGCCTGAAACGTCAGCCTCTCTGCTCCTATGATGCTGCTTGGCCTGCTGTGTTCATCCAGCCCTGCACCTTGTTGTCTAGGTAGGAATGTATATTGTGAGGAAGACACAGGGAAGCTGTAGCCACATACAGATCGGCTAAGAGTGGACAATAAGGCTGTCAGATGGAGTAGAAGGTGGGAAAATGTGAAGATTCCTGCTTGGGCAGCAATTAAAAAAGCAAAGCATGAATTAAATGGAGAATGAATGTAGAATTCCAAGGTGCAGTGATATTTAGGTTGTCTGGTGCATGAGTCGCAAGACGTTAGCATGTAGATCAACATGTAATCAAGAAGATTACATGAATGCTATCCTTTACTACGAAAAGAACTGAAAATACAAGTAAGGATGTTATGCTTCATTATACAGGGCACTCGTGGGACCAGCTGAAATACTTGTGCAGTTTTGGTCTCCTTATTTAAGGAAGGACATAAAAACACTGACGGTGGTACAGAGGAGGTTTGTGAGATCGATAACTGCAATGAGCAGGTTGTTAGGAGGAAAGGTTAGACTGGATGCCTTGTTTGGACTGGAGTCTAGAAGATTGTGACGTGACTTAGTTCGAGCGTATGAGATCCAGAATGACATGAAAAGGATATTCTCTCTACTGGGTCAGCCCAGAACTTGTGGATTATGGGTCACCCTCTTTTAACTCAGATCTTTCTTTTACCTCTCAAAGGATTGTGCAGCTCTGGAACTCTTCCCTTCAGAAGGTGCTGGAGGCAGGATCATGGAATATATTTTTAAGGTAGAAGTGGATAGATCCTCGTTAGGCAGGGCAATGTAAGGTGATTGGGGATGGGTGGGAGTATGGAATTCAAAACACAGCACCCATGTTCTTGTTGAATGGCATAGCAGGCTCGAGGGGCTGAATGGTCTGCTTCTGATCCTATTTCAGATGTTCAACCCACCTATGCCTTTTTGCAGCCTCATACCCTCTTCACAACTTACCATCTACTTAGCATTGTCTCATCAGCAAATTTGGTAAGCGTACTGTGTCCTTTCATCCAAGTCAATTGTATAAATTGTATAAACAGTTGAGATCCCAGCACTGATCCCTGTGGAACACCACACATTACATCTCGCAAACCTGAAAAAGACTACTCTTCAAGACTACTCTCTTCTACCCATTAGCCAGCTCATCATCTGCGCACACTCATTCGTCCCTACACCGCAAGCTTTTATTTCTTGCATAACTATTGATGTGGCACTTTATCGAATGAAGAGTATCCACTGGTTTCCTTTTATCCATAGCAGTGGTTACTTCCTCAAAGAGTGTGAAATACGTTGGTTAAACACCGTTTCGCATTCACAAAATCATATTGATTGTACCCAATTATTTTGAGCTTACCTAAGTGTTTTGCTATAACTTCTTTAATAATAGCTTCTAACACTCTCCCTTTCTTATAGATGCTAGGCTAACTGGCCTGAAGTTTCTTGCTTTCATTCTCAAATGAAGGATTCACAATCGTTAATTTCTAATTTAATAGGACCCTTCCTAAAATCAAAGGCAGTTTTGCAAAAGTAATACCAGTTAATTAACTATCTCACTAGCCTGTTTTTTTTAAGACCTTCGATATTTTCAACAAGCGTACCTAACTTGATCATTAAATGAGCTTTCATAAAATAGAAAACATTGAACAGCAAAAGAACACGGTTCTGCCTTTTCTGTTCTTTGGATCCCTTTCACTGAATCTTTATAAGTGACTTGACAATCCTTGGTTAATATTCACAGAGAAATGGCACAACATTTAAAGATGTACACTGACAAATTTAGCATCCCAATTTGTCTTTTGCACAGAATAATCTCCAATGGAATTAAATCCCACGGCTGCTCCTTGGTTGGGTAAAGCATCCAATGAGAAAATGGATTTGTAAAAAGCTTTTTCATGCAACCACAATATATTTTCATAAGTTTGTCACATACCTGTCTACCAGTTCTTTCATTCCCTCCTTATCTGGCACCAACGATTGATCCTGATCATCAGCTAACGGTGTCCCAGCTTGGCGATAAATACATCGAACCATGTATCGTACCTCGGACCAATAATGCTGAAGCTGTTGAGATTCACGCTCATTCTCTGCTGATATTTCTCTGCAAAAGAGAATATTCAGTAACTATTACCTCAATCCTCAAGGACAAAAGATGCACAATTTTAAACAACCACTTACTTGAAATGACCCCACATGTGGATTACACTTTGTGTCTTCAAGGTACTGAGAGGCAAGATGCAGACCAATACTCAAGTACAAATTAGCTGCTTCAGTATCTAAACGTCATTTTCACTCTACTGTCATTCTCAGCCCCCCTCCTTGACTTCTATCCTCAGGTGCTGCTGGATAATGTAAACTGACACTTCCTGGCTTTGGAAGGGCTGCAGTATAGGTTAAAAGAATGATACAGAAGCTGAAAAGATTAAATTCCAATCATCAGACCTGAATTACACTGGAAGTAGAAAATTAAGGGTAATCTTCTTGAAGTGTTTACAAACATTTAATAAGGTATGCAGCAACTATTTCGTCCCATAGGAGGATCTTACACAAAATTGGTATGCCTTTTAAATTGGAGCCAGGCAGCTTAGAAGCAACGTCAGAAGCACATCACATTAAGAGTAGTGGACATTGAAAACACATTCCTCCAAAATGTTGCTGAGACCATGCGACAGTAGAAATGTCAAAATTGGGATCACATTTTTATGAGTTGATGATATTAAAGGTTACAGAACCCAAAACAGGTAAATGAAACTAAAATACACATTTGATCTTGAGGTTTAAGGAGTTGAATGCACACTCCTGTTTTTATTTCCCGTCATAACAAAATGCAGTCACTGAATCAAATACAGTAATTTGAAAAGTAACTAAAATTTATTACTTGTTCTTGCTAGTGAAAATGAAAGGATATGTCTAATTTTCCCATTCATCATTCCTATGCCAGGAATGATCTTTATTTTTCCCCAAGTGTAGTTAACAGGACCATAGGTACTTGGAAGTACCTATAAACCTTCGTTCTCTGCATGCAAGTTTAAACAAAATTGTCACCAAATTATTTCACAGAAATCACTGAAGTCCAACCTATCCTCAACTGACAAACAAGCACATGCATTTCTATTATTTAAATTGGCAACTATTAGGCTGACAATTATTCAACTTAGCAAAATTCAGATACAAATTCAATGCTCCAGTTCAACAGGCCAGATTAACACCCATTGTAACTCAGATTGATGACAAAGCAAGCAGTTCTGCTGTATTTAAGGACAATTAAGAATTAAAGAGGCTTAAGAAAAAATGTCTTGTATTCAAATAAGCAACACTGCCTGGTTACACACAACTTAACAAAATGCCTCACACATTTGGCAGTGAAGATTGGGAAATTAAAAATGTTGAATTGATTTTAAAATATGCCACTATTGTTACCATGAAGTGCAGTAACAAATTGGGAAGGAAGGAAAGGAGCGCAAAAACAATACTTCCACGAAGAATTTTAATACAACTGAATGTGGCTACCAGCAGAAACTACTGGGCTAAAAAAGCTATTTCAACCTTGAGTTACATTATGGTCCCTCACTACCTTAACTTAATCAAGGTGTACCAATATCATTGTCACGATCACAGTTGTTTGTGAAATATTGGAAAATCTTCGTTCCAGTGCACTAACCTGTAATGACCTCAGTGTTCTACATTGATCACTCAAATCCATGCATAACCACATCTACACAAGTGTTCTAGAACACTAAATGTCACACCAGTGTTCTCCAAAAGTATACCATAATCATTTATTTACTATTCTATAGGTACCTAAGAAGATGAACAAATTATTCAACCTTGCATTAAAAACAGGCATATGACCATGAAATGGCCAATTCGCTGAGGCTGCAAGGTAACAATGTACACTTATGAGGAGGGATCCCAGGCCTCAACTGTGTAAGCTGTGTGCGAGATACATCAAGGCAGAAGTCACTACTTTGAAGAGAGATAGATGAACTAACAGCTATACAGCTCACAAAAGCACAAGAATCAGGAGGTCGTTCAGCCTCAAGACTGTTCCACTGTTCATGGTGATCTGATCTCTAGCCCAACTCCATCTTCATGCGTGCCACCCGTTCCCATCCCACTTTCCGACAACCTGATCCACAACTTTGCAGGTTACAGTGCTTCAGGTGCAGATCCAAGTTCCTTTTAAAATAAGTTTCAACCTCAACCACTGAAACAAGCAGCAAAATACAGGTGCCAGCTATGCCCCCCCACCCCTCTACCCCAACCAAGTGAGAAAGCTTTTCCTGGTAGAATCCTGTTGCCAATCAGCTTAAATCTGCAACCTCTGAAAATAAACCTATTAAGGAAAATATTCTATTCAAGCCCTCTCATTATTTTGTACATCGCAATTAAATTACTCTTCAGTCTCCTCTGTTCTAAGGAAAACCACCTGGCCTATTCAATCTTTCTTCGCCTTTAAATTTCAACACTTAGCAACATTCTTTTCAACCTGTAATGTACTCTCTCTGCAGCACTTACTGTGTTGCCCGGAACCATACACAAAACTCCAGTGCTGGCCAACCAGTGTCTTACATAGTTCTAGCATTACATCCTTGCTTTTATACTCAATACTTGCATAATGGAAGAAAGCATTCAAATGTCTTCTTTACCACCTTATTTACCTATCCTTCCACCTGGATGGAGCTATGAATTTGCACTTCATCATGTTCTATATTTCAATAATATCATATGTGTTCTAAACACCAATATGTACAGGTCCAACTTGTTCAACTTTTCTGTTTATGACAAGCTCTTCAACCCAGAAATCAGCTTCAATCTTCGCTGAACGGTTTCCAATGCCAATACATTCTTCCATTAGTAACGAGTACTCTGGATACATTATATTCAAATCCCTGTACAGTTTTAGTAACACTTTGCTACTCTCCTACTCTGATATATTTCATTTTCTTTGCAATAACTGCAATAGCATTACACTCACCTTCTTAAACACTTACTGCATTTGCAAACCAACTCTGATTCATATACCATGACAACCACAGATTATACTCCATCTGCCAAACTACCACTTAACTACATCCTTTTTCCGACTCTCCACTTTCTCTTGACAACTTAGTTTCTTGCCTATCTTGGCGTCACTAACATTTGTTAGCAGAGTTATTTACCATACATTTGGTCCCATTAACAAAGTCATAGGTGTAGCTTTTAAATAGCACTGATTCCTACATCACTCCACTAGTATTTATTCCTACACTCTGCTTTGTGTTAGCTAGACAACTCTCTTACCCACTTTTACTTTGAGCACTAATCTTTTATGTGGTTGAATGCCTTATGATAATATAGGTACACCACATCCACAGTTGCCCCTTTAGAATGCAGAACCCCTGCAGAGCAGATAGAAGCTATTCGGCCCATCCAGTCTGTACCAACCTAGCCCCACAACCTTGCGGTTACCATGGCACATTCCTGGACATTTCAGTGCAGGTTAGTATGGCCAATCCATCTGACCTGCACATCTCTTGGACTGTGGGAGGAAACCAGAGCAGTCAGCAGAAATCCACGCAGTAACGCAAACTCCACACAGTCACCCAAGCCTGATGTCAAACTTGAGTCCGTAGTGTTGACAGACAGCAGCGCGAACCACACAGCCACTCATGCCACCCCTCTGCCTTCTTTACCACTTCACGAAATTCTAATAAGTTAGTCAAATATTAACTCCTTCCACAAAACCATGTTGATTCTGCCTGATTGGAACATGATTTCCTAAGTTGTCTTGCTATAACTGCCTAATAATTAATTCTAGCTACACCTCCCCCTTACCTCCATTCAAGGCACAAAACAAACCTTCCATCTCAGACAGGGATTCACCTGCACATCCGTCAACTCGGGCTACTACATCCACTGCTCCCAATGTGGCCTCCTCTACATCGGTGAGACCAAGTGGAGACCGTTTTGTAGAGCATCTGCACTCTGTACGTGATAAATGACAACACCTTCCGGTTGTGAATCATTTTAACTCCCCCCTCCCACTCCCAGGGTGACATGTCCATCCTGGGCCTCCTCCAAAGTCACAATGACACCACCCGCAAACTGGAGAAGCAGCAGCTCATATTCCACCTCAGGAGCCTACAGCCCAATGGCCTAAACAGGGAATTCACCAGTTTTAAAATCTCCCCACCCCCGGCCTCATCCCATGTCCAACCCTCCCTCTCATCCCTGACACAACCTGTCCATCTTCTCTCCCATCTATCCTCTCCACCCACCTCACTGACCAATCCCCCCAACTCCCTACTGCACTCACCTATTCACCATCCCACCTACCTTCCCCAGCCCCACCCCTGCTCTGTTTATTTCTGAGCTCCCTTCCCCTTCTCCATTTCTGAAGGGTCCCGACCTGAAATATCAACTTTCTTGCTCTTCTGATGCTGCCTGGCCTGCTGTGTTCCTCCAGCTCCACACTAGGTTATCCATAAGGGAGCAGTTTGCCTGATTGGCATCTTTGTCACTAGTCTCAAGCATTCATCTGTTTCATCATTAAATATATTGCTGCTGCAACACATATAATCTATAAGATGCACTGTACTTGAATAATTTCTACCTCAGAGGACAAAAGCAGCCATGATGTAAGAATACCATTATTCCCAAGTTGTCCTATCAAACAAAGGAATATTCTGACCTATTTCTGTTCTTACATTCGTTGTTGGACTATGTTCCAAGAGGTCCCTATTTGACACAATCATGGGATCACCGGAAAGATAGCAGCAATACAGACCTAATGCTGCCTTCTCCTACTACTTGAACAGGGCAATAAATCTGACCTGCAGCACATGACTGCTTTTGCAGTATGACATGAGCCACTGGCAGTAGTTTGCATCTAGATCTCACTCAATCCATTATTATCAACATATCTTCCCCCATACACCAAGCGTGACCAGTATGGAAGCATGTCATTGTATAATTAAATCATAGGTAATACAACTAGCAAGGGCAAAAGCCCAAAGTATAATATTTCATTGAGGCAAATTTAAAATTAAAATTAGATTTAAATAAAATTATATTAACAAAGAATGATTAGTTAAATTATAATTGAAAATTTTAAGAACTTTAGTTGTCCTAATACAATTTCATTAAAGAAAAATAAGCTAATTCAACAAAGTGAAGAGAGAAAAATCAAAACAGGAATAAGAAAATCAATGTAAGCAGAAAAAAATGAAGGATTAATGAAAACACAACAGGTTAAAAATGATAATCAAGTTGCAAACAGGACGCTAGAGGGCTACACAAAGATATGCAGCGCACTAATGAAACAATTTATCACTATAATTATGTAAAGATTGGCTGTGGGAGGAATTCAACCTCTGAAGGATAAAAGTAGCGGAGAAACCAAAAATGCAAGGCAAACAGCAAATTACTCAAGGATTGCTTTAGAAAGCTATTTAATTGACTGAAAAATACTGATTTATTATTCTATTACCACAGGGCACTGACTATCAGAGGAATTTTAACTCAGCTTGCAGCAGGTATTCAACAAATGAGAAGACTAATAAATTATCTGGAAGATAAGGTGATAGGTAGGGTACGAAAATAGCGTGAGGGAAACATGCACATTTCCGAATATAATCACAAAACAGAAACTGCTTTGCTGTACAGATGGGAGGGACATGTAGTATTTAATTATTAAAGGCCGCAAAGATGGGACTTCACAAGGACCCAGTGTAACATTTGATTGGGAGAGAAATACCTTGTGACGATTTCAGGCTAAGCCGCTAATATAGAAGACAAAAAAAAGTAACTTTTCTTCAAGCACGGTGACATACACCAATAAAAGCAAAAAATGTTGGAAATATTCAGATTAGGCAACATCTGTAGATACAGAAGCAGAAATAACTCAGATTAATTGCTTATCTGTACAATTTCTAACCCATTTCCAGAATTTTCTATTTTTATTTTATATTTCCAGCGCCTGCACATTTCTGCTTTGATCTTTCTTTAGAAATGCTTCACCAGTCTGAGAAACCTCTGAAACATTTCTTCCTTTCGCTATAGTTTCCTCATTTCTTTGCATTCTGAAGTTTGCTTGTAAGGAGACCATTCCTTACAAGCTGCTGTCTTTCAGTAGCCTGCTGAAATGGCTAGACTTCACATGGTAAGAATTACAGGAGCAAGAGCAGGTTTCTTGATGGGTGTGGGGGTGGGGCAGCATTTGTTTAGAATTCTAAGGAACTCTTACCTGCGTTCATTGCATGCCTCACAGTTGCAAGCTATTTCTGAAGGTGCGGTCGTATTGACATCCGTACCAGGTACAGACTGTGTTCCGACAGCCAGTCTTCCACCTATTGAGTCCTGGGGTGCTCCATTATTAGCCATTGGCATATGCAGTAAGAAGTCCTGGTTCTTTAGATTTGTTGCACAGAAAAGCAGAAAAAAATTGAATCAGTGACATTACATAATTTTAGAAAACACTAAACAAATGCAGCTATACACAAAGATCACTGAATGTGGCTTTGTATTCCAAATAGTTTTGGGTTGAACTTCAAAGAGTTAAATCACAACCTTGGCCAAAAACCCTGTGTGGGATTTAGAGGGTGTCACATTGTTGCAGGCCCTAGTCTTTGGCTAAGATATGATATCAATGCTGCCGGGCATGCATGTGCGCCTGTCTGTCTGTGTGCATGTGGAGGGGGTGGCCGTGTCAATAAAGTCCACACGGTACATTTCATGGAGCAGCAGATGACTTGGTCAGTGTTCCTTCTTTAACCACCAAACTCTTAAGTTAAATTGATTGCTGGCTTTTGCTGGAAATACTGCATTCTTACTTAGGAACTAGTTAATAACCAAGTTAATAATGAACCAATGGGCTATACAACTAAATATTAGTGCAGAAAAATTATTAATACGACTAACAGTCAACAAGTGCCCCACCACACACCCCGCCACCTCCCCCCCCCACTGGATCTCAAAGCTCTGAAACCTCAGAATGCAAGCGAAGTATACATGCTGATTTTCCAAAATTCACTTTATTCTAGATTGGCCCCCATAACTTGGAAAATAGGAAATGTGACCCCATGATGCAAAAACGGTGACAGAAAAACTAAGGTAATTTGACCAGTTAGCTTGAAATCAGCAGCACATAAAATGTTCGAATCTATTATGGATGTAGCAACAGGGCTTTGTTGTGCTTACAAGTCATAATATTATTAAGGTTGAGACAAGATAATTTTTCCCAACAACATAGCTTTGACAAATCTGAAACCCACTGAATAGCAAAGGAAAAAAGTCAGCTACCACTCAAAAGGTTATCACACAATATTGAGGCTCAGTGTATTGAGGTTAATCTATCAACTTAGATTGAAAATTAGTGGACATAAAAATATATTTGGAATAAAAGGTGCATTTTAAGATTGATAAGTTATAAAGAGAAAGTGCTTAGGCTTCAGCTATTTACAATCTGAATGACTGGGGCAATGGAGCAAATGTAATTTATCAAATTTACTGATGATACAAATATCAGTGAGAAAGCCAGAGGAAGACGCAAAGACACTGCAGAGGGATATAGTCAGGTTAACTCAATGTGGGCACAGAGTGGGGAAAGGGAGTATCTGTGAGGAAATGTGAAATTATCCACACTGCTTAAGAGTTTATAAAGATGAGAAGCCACTTAACATTAGTATGCAGAGGGATTTTGATTTTCTTGTACAGAATAGTAAAGTTAACCTAAACTGAAACAAAGCAACTAGAAATGAAAATAATACTTTAGCCTTTACTGGAAGATGGTTAGCATGTACAGCTAATTAAAGCGTGCTGAAATTATGTAAGTATGCTTGAAAGAACACACTTGGGTTGCTTTGTACAGTCTGATCTGATCTCAATCAACATTGACAACAAAATCAGAAATTGCTGGATAAACTCAGGTCTGGCAGCATCTTTGGAGAGAAAGGAGTGTTAACGTTTCAGGTCCAGTGGCCCTTCTTTGAACTAACCCTTCTTCAGTCAACATTGAAAGTCAACATTTTGGGTTTGAATCCTGGCATGACAGATAGTGTAATTCTAATTCAATAAATTAAATCTGGGATTAAGAGTCTAATGATGACCATGAAACCATTGCCAATTGTCAGAAAAACCCATCTGGTTCACTAAAGTCCCGTAGGGAAGAAAACTGCTATCCTTTCCTGGTCTGGCCTACATGGGATTCTAGACCGACAATAATGTTGACTCTCAACTGGTCTCTGGGCAATTAGGGATGGACAATAAATGCTGACTTAGCCAGCAACACCTTCATCCTGCTGGTGAATTAAAATATTGAGTCCAGCATGACTCTTCTTCAGAGATGAAGTGTCATACTAGACTCAAACTTTCACTGTTTCTCTGCACAGATGCTGCCACACTGGCCGAGTTTCTCTAACATTTGTTTGTTTCAGATTTCCAGCATCCATACTGTTTTGCTTATATTATAATTCCGAGAGTTTACAGGGGTGAGGGGTAATCCTGTTGCAGAAAAGAAATTCTAAAAAGGATGAGAAAGTTGCAACAGCTGGACAGATGTAACTGAACAGCAGGTCATACTCTAAGGTTAAAGAGTCAGCTAATTAAGACTGAGGGGGGAGAGAAATTTCTTGACTTAGGGTGTTGCAATTGTGTGAGATTATCCCAGAAAGTTGCAGATGATCAATTGTTGAGATACTCAAGACAGGGATCAATCACCTTTATTGGGCTCAAAATTAGGCAAGAAATAGGGCAGGAAAATGAATTTGAACATTGCTCAATTGTGATCTTATTGAATGGATGTCAATCGCAAAGGCACAAACAGCCTACTCCTGCTTATATTTCTTAAGCTGTTAAAAGTTTGAGCATGGGCAAAAATGGGTTTCTCCAAAACAAGCCAGGGTTCATGGCAGAGTGACCCAAACCTGCAGGATCCCAGAAACAAACCAAGACAGGAATTCTCACGACAAAGTGGAAAAATGAGGCCAATGTGAAGGAAAAGTGAACTGGAGATGGTTGCAGAATAGATAGGCAGACTTAGGTGAAAAACAGAGTCATCATGCAAGTTATCACGAACACGCAAGACCATTTGATTCTGTTATAACACAAACAGGACCTGATCAAACCTTTAAAAACTAAGTAAGCATTAGTTTCTGCCATTAGATCATGCAGACCCAATGTCACCAATATCAGAAACACAGACTATATTTAAACAGAGCTCATGCAATTAACATCAAATAAAAGCAAAATTTCAAGTGAATACACTGTCACTGATCTCAAAAATACACGATTTATGGCAAAATGTTCAACATTGTGCCATGAACCATGAAGAGAGAATGTTGTGCTACCAAAAGATTTATGCACCTTAGTTTCCTTTGCTATTATTAGGACTTATAGAAGAAAAATTAGCATAGTGCAAGGAATATTGAAGCTAGTTTTATGGAAACCCTGAGCGCTGTTTTACTGAATTTTCCTTGCTTGACTAAATTGTTTGCTATTACAACATGACTAGAGCACACAAGATGCCAAACCCAAAATTATTCACAACCTGCTTTCACGAATGACAAAGTGTCCCATGTGAAAACAGATGGGAATGAATCTCAATAGATCATCTTCACATCTGTGACAGCAACACACTGAACATGTCATGAAAGAAGATTACAAACCAAACCACAAATTACGCATGCAATTTCTGCATCGATTACATCAGTATTTCTTCAGTTAACAGAGCAGTTTACATCTGAAAGATGTTTGCAAGCAAAAGTAAAAGAAACTGCAATTCAAGAGCATCTTTTAAGACCTTCGGCTACAATGTGTTTTCTACAGTCGATAAGGCACTGTTTGAGAAGTGTAATCATGTTTGCAATTGCAATGAAGGCTGTATGTTTAATTTTTGTAAAATTGCATTTAATGAACTGTGGATAGTTGTATTGACTACTATGCTTAAACTGACACTGAATTGACTTCTGGATCAGAGGTCTATGCGCCTGCAAGCCAATCAGCATTCACAGACCCTGAGAGGCTGAGCTGCCTTGGAGGACAGAAGGGACATGATTTCAGGAAGATTTGGACAATCTCATTGGAAGAAATCTTCAACTCAGCTGTTCCGTTGCTGTTGTTGATCCAGTATGGGATCCGAAGTGCTTGTACACAGTATTGACTGACAGCGTTATAATCAGTCAGAATATCAGACAGGGAAGTGGAATGGGAATTATGGTTTCATTGAATAGTGGCAGCAGATTATTTGGGCTGAATGGCCTATTTCTGCTCCTATAGTCTGAGTACATGTGTTTGTGTGTTTTGGGTTACTTAGACGGGTAGACATATGTATGTTCAGACTGCAACCAGTGCTAATAAATTCAGCGCCTGTGGAATATGTTTTATTTAATAAATTCAGTTATCAGTTTATAATAAAAGAATCATGGTTATCATTTACAGTGTTCCAAGTCTGATATACTGAAAGCACTTAAAAACTGAATGAACTGCGGATGCTGTAATAAGATGCTGTTCCGAGGAAGGGTCACCGGACCCGAAATGTTAATTGTATTTTCCTTCACAGATGCTGCCAGACCTGCTGAGCTTTTCAAGCAACTTTGTTATTGAAAGTATGTGACTGGTCTTATGAACCAAATTAATCAATTAAATACATGTTGTGACCTGCAGTCACAGAATAGACAAAGACAATGCATTTCTCCTGTCATAACAGCCATTTTCCACAAAGAAAGCTCCCACAAACTGCAATTAGGTTGCCAAACAGAGTACTTGTTTTAGTGATGTTAGAGGAAGGATAAATACTGAACACAGCACCAGGAAGAATTCTTTGCTCCTTCTTGAATCATGTCAAGGTTAACTCTTAGGGACGCTGAGGGGGAACACAGGCCTCTGGTTGAAAGTCTCAACCAAAGAAACACAAGATAAACTGAAGTTGCAAATGTTGGTGTGTTCGCCCAGCTGGGTGGTTTGATAGCAAACATTTCGTCCCCTTAGCAGGTGACATTCCCAGTGCTGTTGTCTTGTGCCAGTTCGAATTTACATGGTCCGGTTTTTGCTGCTTCCAGTAGGTGCCAGTTCCAGCTGTCACTGTGATGGTCAGTATATCTGTCCAATTCAATGTGTTTGTTGGAGTCCGCGGATAAATGCCTAGCCTAAGAATTTCCTGGCTGTCCTCTGTTTGGCTTGTCCAATGATAGCAGTGCTGTCCCAGTTGAAAGTGTAGTTTTTCACATCTGTGTGTATTGAAACCAAGGACATCTGGCCATGCCGTTTAGATGCTAGCTAGAGTTTGTGGATGCGGGTTGCTAGTTGTCTGCCCGTTTGTCCCACAGTGTTTTGCGCAGTCTCCGCATGGTATCTTGTAAACAACATTCGTCCTGTCCATGGTATCAAATGGGTCTTGAACCCTGGTCAGTTGC